GGGTGTTTGTCCGTGGCCTATACCCTGATGCAGGGTGAGAAAGGCAATGATGATGATGTGCACAGGGCATAGGTCGATAATTTATGTAAAACCTCGCCAGTTGAGAAACTTGTTGGTGATCTAGCAAAACAAAAAATTGGAGAGCCCATGTGTGCCAACAATGAAGGCCGGAGCGAGTGAGTAGGAAGGGTGTGGCATGCGCAGACAAGCAGAATGCATCTCGTGATAGGCCAACCTAGTCTAGATTATCTAAGCTTACCATGCCTCTCACTTTTCCAAGGCTGAAATTCATTTCAGGGGCGGGGAGATAACAAAAGTAATAAACAAATCTCCAAACTCATAGATTAGGCCTACTTTTTTACTTCCCTTGAATTTATTACTGGATCCCGTATACCACGAAAGTGACTCAGAAACCGATGAATTGGTCGAGGATTGTTATGACGAACTGGGTGGGGAAATTTGCAACTTAAAAGTAAAGTTTAGTAGGGCCCCAAAAACCTAAATCTAGGGTTGCGGTTGTGGGGAAGGGTGTGAGTAAGAGAGGCTAAGGGAACGCAGTTTTTGACCAATTTTTGAAAACTTGTTTTTAAAAAAGTAACAATAAAACAGGCTGTAATTTCATCAGGGCAATCTTTATTATGTTAAAAAACGATGTTCCAAATTTCAAGTCTCTATATATATATATGTTAATTATTAGCAAAAGAACAGTGATTTTTTAAAATTACCCTGAAAATGGCTGCTACACAGGAAATACCGACCCCGAAAATGGCTGGTAGTGGGTGAGTTAAAATCTTCCTGTTATAAGCGAGTTCTATTTTTTTTATATTTAGGTTTTTCAACTAGGGGTAGGCCTCTATGCATTAAATATTTGGGCGCTTGTTATTTAATATCTTCTGTTTTTAATGAAATGTTGTGCTTGCTGACAGCTAATACGGGCTGCCCACTACGGCTGTGATCGGCGGATCGCCCGACTCGATCGCCTCAAAAACAAACATTTTTTTTTTCAGTTTCAGGCGATCGAGTCGGGTGATCGGCCCGATCCAGCTGTAGTGGGCACCCCGTATTAGTTTTGTTGTGGTTGGTGAAATATAAGGTCATAATGATTTTTTGAAATAGGTGCCAATACACCCGGCATTCTTCAAATGGTAAGCCAAAAGTAAGGTGCCTAGCAGCTATGACTTTTAAAAGGTCAACCTTCAGAAGTAGTGCATCTTCCAGGAGTGAAAGTAAAAATTAATCTGGCATCGTGGAAAATTGCATTTTTGGAATAGAATAACAGACTTCTCGTTATTTCAGGACTCGTTATAAGTGTGTATATAATATGTTCAAGGCCTTTATTAATTTGATTCAAAACTATCCCTGAACGGCATTTGTCTCTTAACTTTTTGTTGACAGTGACAACTCTACTTTATTTAGCCTCTGGCTCTATTCAGCACTACCTCATTCAATTGTTTGTGAAATTGTTTTTAAAGAAAAATTCCATGATTATTTTTTTAAAGTATCACAAAAGTAGCCTAGTTTCTGTTGCCCACTACCGACTTGTAGCCTATAGTTTGTACAGCTTTTTTTCGTCTTTTCAATGACAAACCACGAGACAATAGAGCTTTTGGCAGAATTTTAGTAGTCCACTTCACAAAAACGTTTTTTTAACTTTTATCAGGGATGCCAAATATCAGGTTTTTCCGGCTTTTTTCAGGTGGGTTTTTTTTTCAAAAATAATTTAGCATCCCTGATAAAGAAGGCCACTGACATATGGTCTTTCTTCTCGAGACAGAAATAATATAATTAGAATTGATACAACAAAGGCCCCATACACTTGCGAAGGAAAGGGGAGAGGTAGGAGAGATGTTTTTGTTTGCTCATTTAAAAACTTTACAAGGTAGGCCTACTTTTTAAGTGAGATATGGTACTCCGCTCATTTTCGGGGGTTTTTTCAAAAATCATTTGGCCTCCCTGTTTTATTCCTGCATGCAATTAATATTTTAAAGAAAATTGGATAAATGTTTGATTCTTCTACTGTCCCATATATTAGAAACGTTCTTCTTTGTTGTTCTCAGATGGGGTGAAACTTACTGTCATCTGCCATGGCCAAAAATAGATCCCTACAACTGGAGAGACCTGTTTGTACAACGATTCTTGACTAAGAAAAGTACAGCCACAAAACTGGAACAGCTGGCCAGTTTGACCCAATCTGGTGACGATATACCTTTGAAAGCAAGGAGAGAGGGTCGTTTCTACGATTTCTTGGAAGATGAGCACTTTCTTCCTCATGTCTCATCAGAGCTGAAGCCTATGTTTGTCCTGAGTGCTTTAAGTGAAGTTATAAAGAAAGGAGACTGTCGAAACAATCTCACTCAGAGGTATCATGCGGAAAACTCCCTTATGTACCTAAGGCACCTCAGCTTGCGGCCAGAAATCGATCGCTTTATCAGGCAAACTCTTGACAAAGACATTGAAGAGGGTGCAGTGCTCATAGCTCAGTGGTTTCAGCCGTGCTTTGAGTTTAGTGTAAATGATATAAAGAGTCAATTTGATCAGCTGGCAGAGAAAGTAAGACAGGTTCTCTACATTGACCATCCTGAGCACAGTGTTTTTGCTGGCTCTGCACCTGTGATTCCAGAAAAATTGGAAGCATCACTGTGGATCCCCTCAGAATGTAAACAGATTGTGATGGCTATAGGATCAGTTTTCAACACATTATTCAACCAGAACTTCCAGCATTATTTTGAAGCAGAAAATTCTTTCATTAATCTAGTGCTGGAGCGGAGACAGGGAATTCCCATCACCTTGTGTTTGGTTGTACAAAGCATTGCGAGACGCCTGGGTGTCATTTTAGAACCTGTCAGTTTCCCATGCCATTTCATACTCCGCTGGCTGGAGTACCCGAGGAAAATAGGAATAGACCAGTATACATTTATTGACCCATTCAACAAGGAGTTCTCCCTGACATTTCAAAATGTCCTCAATTTAGCCTCCTCAAGACATTTACCTATCAACAGGAATCATTGCGATGCCTGCTCTAAACAGGAAGTCCTGGTACGTATTGTGCGAAACCTGGTCAACATCGGCAAGCGCAGTATATCAAGCAGTAATATGATGTTCTTTCGCCATGCTGCTGAACTCCATTCGCTCATCTGCCCCGAGGCTATAGATGTGTTATTACTCTCCATGCAGCTGACAATCCACCTACAGCTTAACTTGCAGGCTGTCCGTGATGATTTACAGAAGCTTCAGCCAGCTCATCCTGATATGTTAGAGGGAATATTAGATTTAGAGGTGAGACTTCATTTTTTTAAAGGAAAACATTTTGTGTTTCTAGAGTAGGGTAAGTGTTGTTCGTATAGGGGTAGATATTCTGTTGTGTGTTTTATAAGATTTTGGCTCTTCTGTGATCCTAGTCTGCCGAGATGAAAATGTTTTGGAGGTTAAAAAAAAAAAATCAGTCTTTTTCTTGATCCGTTTGGACACAATCTGTTCTACATACATGGTAACTTACTTCATTGCTGCCCTAGATGGTTTATCAGCACGTTTTGGAGAGGGCAAAATGAAATCTGGGGATGACCATACCTGTACCTTGATCTCATCCACTCAGTTGCTCCTGACGTGTACTCTTCTGAGATTCATCTGTGCTGAACTCGCCACAAATCCTTTCGCCTCCCCCTTTTCCTCAAGTCAATAATATATATTAATGAAACACCCTTGGTGCTAGCCACTCAGTTGATCTGTGGTAGCATTTAATGTACTACTACATTGTGAAAATGTGTGTATTCATATTATATGCATGTATGTCCCGTTTATTATTATACGGGACTGGGACTGCTTTATATCATCAAGTTCTAAAATTTCAGAAGGCTGTTCAGTGGGCTTAGTGGTGTGGTGTCAGTGGTTAGGCTCCCATAGGTACAGGTTGAGCATCATGTGCAATCTGCAGCTTGCAATGTATTTTTATGCTTTCTGGGAAGTGAAGAATATTTTGTAGTGTTTTAGGGTCAGCTAGGGTAATAGTTGCAAAGTCATGAGTGGTTTTTTGTTTATAATATATATGTATGTTGTCCCAATATAATTTTATCTTGTGTGCTTTCACTCATAGTTTTTGAGTATTTAAATTAAGTTTGTGAGTGGTTTGCAGACGGTTTGGTGTAGTGTGCTCCTTGTATTTCCTATCAAATGTCTATCGTCCCTTTAAAAATCTCTCCTTTTTTGTCTTTGTATGCCACTCTCTATTGCTAACATTTCTGATTTTATTCAGCACTTCTGTGCTGCAATATCAATAACCATAAAACTTTTACAAAAACTTTTTTTTTAAATGTGTTTGGTGGATTGTTGTGCTTTTTAATCAGTTAATGCATTGTGCTTGTTTCCTCAGTATCGGACTGTGGCTCAGCTCAGAAAGTTTGATGCTTACAAACCGGAACGTAAACAACCCAAACGGAGATCCAAATACCCCGAAGTAAGTGGGAGCAGTGTTTTCAGGCATAAATTTTGGCTTGTCCTTTATAATATCAATGTCAAACAACACTTAACTCATAAATAAAGTGTCAACAGGTCATTGTGATCATATATTTTGTGGCCTTAAAATTTATTTTTGCCATTTCATGAATTCTGCTGCTGGAAGTATGTTCTCACTGTTCTGCAAATTTCTCTGGCCTTAAAGTAAACATACAAAACCAAATTTAGATTTAACCATTCTGCACAGAAGCTTTGCTACATTCTCATAGATGTTGGCCAAGATATGTGGCTGGTGGCACTCTGGTGTATATGTAGTCCAAGGGGAAGTGCAGTCAAGAAGTCTTCTTGTACCACTGTTACTGTTACGTTTTAGTTTTGACATCCGGTTTGTTGCCCAATAATCTTCAAATCTCAACATCCCCTATTTAGCCTACTGCTACTGCATAAATTATTTCTTAATGTGTTTCTTTTAGGCTAGTTACACCGATGCCTGTTGTGAAAAGAATAAGCTCTGGGGATGGTTTGCAGGTGCTGTGGTGTGGTCTGTTTCATATTTTTCCTTTCAAACATATATCTTCTATCATCCTTCTCCTTCTTTTTTGTCTTTGTTGCTCTTAGTTACACCTCTAATCTCCAGTACTTATTTGAACTTATTGTGTTGCAAGTACCGGTACTGTAAAATCAAAACACTTACAACTAAAACTTAACTAAAACTACAATCATCTCTTAGCTTTGTAGGCAGAAAGTACGAGTTCCATTCCCCGGTATTAGGTAATTTGAGACAATCACTCGTACAATTTCCCTCGCATTTTATAAAATGTTTATTTTAACATTTGAGGGTTAGACACTGTGTAAAAAAATTTTCACTGTATTCCTCTTAGCCCTGGTTCAAGGTTGGCCCCGACAGGAATGGTCGGAAGCCCACCTCCTAAGGGATCTAAATCAAGGGTCTCAAACATGTGGCCCCGCAAAGCAATTAAAGCCTACAGAACATTGTACGGCCCCTACATGACATAGTTAAATAAAAATATTAGTGTGGCTCACGCTTGGTTATTATTTTTTTTTTTTTAAAGAGAATTATCTACCACCTTTACTAAGCTGTCCTGTATGTTTAAGCAGACCATATGCCTTTTTGGTTGCACATAATATCTGTGTGAAAAACCATTCCTCAAAATGCCTTTTAAGTAGTCATAGTGGACAAAAAATCTTCAAGCCACACTGAGGTTCTCGCTTGCTTTCTCCCTCAAGACAAATGTGGCTGAGCTATTTAAGAGGAACTGTTGCAGGGTCTCTGGGGGCAAGTGGATGGTAAGAATAAGAGAAGCCTGTTGAGAAGATTAGATCAGTTGTACTCTTGTTTGTTTGAAGAGATGCTTAAAACTTTATCGTATTATTTTTAAAAAACATTTTTTAATGAAAACTTGATGCAGTAGAGGCTCTCTCAAAATCTGCCTCCCAGTTGATCTAACTTGTGTCAATGGGGACATAAAACGCCAACATTCAAAGAAATAAACTGTCTGGTTAAAGAGTCTCCTGATAATGATTTGATTCCCCCCCCCCCCCCCCCCCCCCCAGGTGAAGTTTGCCACTGGCATGGTGATGAAGCACCTCCGCTACCATTATGAGTGTGTTATTTATGGATGGGACAACCGGTGCAAAGCTAAAGCCTCATGGATACTGCAGATGGGGGTGAACAACCTCCCCCGTGGCTCCCAGCAGCCTTTCTACAACGTGCTTGTGATGGACGGAAGCAACCGCTACGCTGCGGAGGAGAACCTGGTCCCAACACGCTGTACTGAGCCCATCACCCATCCTGAGGTGAGACTTGCCCTGACAAGCTGGTTGTTATGTTTGTTTTTGCATACACCTGTTTTTTTTTGGTTTTGGTGGGGGGGGTTTTTGTTTGTTGCTGTTGTTTTTTGGGGGGGTTTTTGGGTGGGGGGGTGCCAAGCATGTCTTGAATTGGTATGAAAAATTTAATTTGTGAATTTAAAATGTTGGGGAGATTTTAAAGGGGGCATTACTGCTTTGGAACAATTGGCACTGGCTGACTCAAATAGAGAAAAATGAAGTGGGCAAAGTACATTTTTAAAAACAACAACGGTGTATGGTAATTTTAGAAATTATGTACATCCCTATGAACAAAATTTAAGTCATAATGTCTAACGTCTTTTTTTTTCTCCATGACTCTTCTTTTTTATATGTATGTGTGTAACAGTTCCCACTTTATTTGCTTAACTGTTCCCATATTTATAGGTGAAACCACAATTAAGAATCATATTAAATCCAGTCATTTGAAAAAAAAGGACTATATGAAAATTCTGTTACAGGTTTCCGTAACTGACAGGACAAAAAAAAATACTTGTCCCGTCAGTTACCGGAACTAAACACGTCACAGCATTTAATATAATTCTTAATATGTCTTTCAAATGCTCTGATCATTTAAAGTTAAAATAAATTAATCGATATTTCTTTACAGTGTTATCATCACAAGAAAGTGTAGGCCAAATGTCCTGTCAGTTACCGTGGAATAGTCCTTTTTTAAAAAAAGGTGTGAGTTCTCATTTAAAAATCATTTTTCTCTTTTCAATTCTATTTCACAGGTTGGCATGTATTTCGAAAGCTTCAACGAATATTATTACACTGCCAACCGAATGACGGAGGAATTGTATCCGGATGACACTGAAGTTGCCAAGAGTTTTGCAGTGGAACTCTTAACCAATTAAAAAACAGGCTGGGCTTTTTTTTTTTTGGGGGGGGGTGATTGCGGCCTCAAAATTGTAGAGTTTTGATTCTGTTGTACGTCTTGCAGTCAGACAGGAAAACCTTGAATTCTGGCGTGACCTAGTGTTTAGGAATGCAATAGATTTTGGCCCTTTTCTTGTTAAATAGTGACAAAGGGACTGTGAGCTATAGTTATAGCTACTCCAGCTTTCTAATCACCATATCATTTTAGCTGACTGAGGACAGAACAACAATAAGTAATTGCTCTCGTGCCATTTTATGATGGTAATGATGTTGTTGTTGTTGTTTTCAAATCCCTTTAGCTGCGAGCATTTCGCTCTTGGCAGCGCAATGCCTCCCTCAAGTAACCACATGTCCTTGTCATCTGGTCAACGCCAGAGTAGAGCAGGCTTTGTAAGTCTGTAGGTGTGTGTAGGAGCCTGCGTCGAAGAACTGCCAGGTTTGGGCAGTGAAGAAGAAGATGTTCAACGGTCTCCTTGTGGTAGTCACAGTGTCGATGGTAATGATAAAGGATTATTATCATAAAATGTGCTGTCTACATTGAGATTATTGTTGTACTGAAACTACTGCAAATTTTCAATATATATGAAATCAGTTAGCTGATTTTGTTAGCCAAACTTTTTTACTCTCTGATGAAACCGGAAAGAGCTCCTTGGCATGACAAGTTAATTCTTTAGGGAACTAATCAGAATACTATCTTTAGTGTCATTAATCAGAAGTTTATCAAAGGGATTTTCTACCCTACAAGAGGAGACATGATATGAAAAATACCCTCTTACTTTCAGTATATTTTTAAGATTTGGAATACCGTACATCTCTAAAGCATATCACGCAGGAATTTTGTAGTGCTGGGCGGTTCTGGCAAGAACCGCTAGTACCAGTATTGGTACTGGGAGTGACACCAGGAGGTGAGGTCAGAGACTGAGCATCTCGCGCTACGATCTGCGTCGCCCGCATTCCCCCCCCCCCCCCCCTCCCACACACACACACACACTCAACAGGCCTTGTAACACAAGTGCTCAATGAGTTGATGAATGCACTTTTATTATGATGTGTGTGTGTGGGGGGGGGGGGGTATTTGTTTTGTTCTATTTGTTTGAGGTATTTGGGGGGGGGGGGTATAGTTGTTGGGTTTTTTTGTTTGTCCTTTTCAACTCATATTACAACATGAATTAAAAAAACATCGTAAACGTAATGTATTGGAACGTAAAATATAAATACCTTTCTTGTGTATGGTGGCCATTGCTGCTGCTGTTTGCTGATCATAAACAAGGATATGAAAATAAGCGATCAAGTAGTTACTCTCTGACATACTCTGATGAATAGAAATTAGTGTTTTGTACTTTTGCTTAGAAAGAGGACCTTGTTTATGATGTGTCGAGAGAGACCCATTCTTCTGTGGGACACCTGCTCTCCTGCTTTTGAAAATAAACATCGAAAAGCTCCGATGTTGCAGGCATGCAAAGATATTGTTGTGCCACATCTCTCATAAGAGGAAATGCAACACATTGCTCTTTCCACCACTTCAGAGAGTCATTATCTCTCTCAATCAGAGGCTCTTGAAAGTATCTGGTGAGCTCAGTTTGTGGTTGGTCAAGGACTTGGCTTGTCTGAGTCCTGTTCTTCTGTGCGTCCTGGTCAAAACGAGCCCAAATCCCCCTTCTTGCCACTGGTGGAACAGAATTCCCTTGCAAAGGCTCCTGGGTGGGCACTGTAGATGCAGACTTTGTTGTTGATGTTTTTCTGTCTCTGAAGCTCATGGCATTTACAATTTGAGCCTTTGCCATTTTGCAGGTTGACTCCTTGCTGAAGTACAGGTGTTTCAGTCTCGGACCTCTCAGCGTGCTTACTCCCAGAACTTGTCTCTCTTCCACATTGCGAAACCGACTGACTGAAGCCTCTAGGTTCTGCACAAAAATAGACTTTTCCATTCCCTCCAAACACTCTTTTAATCCTCTAGTCATGGAGATTGGCTTAGATGCTGTGGTCATTTTATCGGCACTCATTTCTGGCGTGGCTTGCTCAAACGAACGCAGTGCTACTACTGCTGTTTCAGCAGTTCTATTCTCCATTTCAGACAGCGTCATGCTGCATCTGTTCAACCAGCCAAGTGTCATTGTTACAATCTTCTGTTGTTCACAGTAACGCTCCAGCATGTAGAAGGAAGAATTCCACCTTGTCTCCACTTCTTGAATCAATTTCTGTTCTGGATACTTGTAGGCCTACTGCTTTTGAAATTGGGCCATTTTCAGGGTAGCTTGTGAACTTAAATGAAAGATTGTTACAATACTTTTGACTTTTAAAAAATAACATTGTCACATCAGCCATCTGCCTAATTGCGTCTTTCACTGCAACGTTGAGCATATGCGCAAAACATGGAAGGTGAGGATATCCCAGGTCTGACACAGCTTTCACCAGGTTGGATACAATATCAGTGACGATTTAGCGTATTGTGTGCTCGATACCCCAATGTGCAAAAATGGTTCGGAGTTTCGGAGTTCCAGTGCAATGTTTACTCCAGTGTGAGATGTTGTCATGAGAGCAAGCAGTGTCCAAAACAAAGGATTTCAATTCTTCGCAAAACGAAGATATCAAAGGTGAATCTCACTGAACTCTGCAGTGATGAAAAACACACCAGGCTGCACCACCTTGTCTGTAACTACACAGGAGTTAAAAAACTGAGGATGTCACAGTGCTTTCCGGCAATTTAATTCGCTGACATTTTACCCTTTGCGTGGGACTTCCTTACATGGTAGTGTGCAACAATGAATGGAAGGAGGGGGGGGGGGAACTTGGGAAAAGTGGTCTCCCCTCGTTCCAAGGGCCATGAGCTGAAACGGAATCGAATAGGGCAAAATTAGACCTTTCGTAAGATACCAAACACTTACAAGTTTACTCGTCTTGCGATCATGGTTGCTATGACCCATACAATGCATATTTTGACCGAATCAAGCAAAACAAACACCCACATCTACTGGGAAAATCGACTTTTGTGCTATAAATACCTAAGACTTGAGCACGTGGATGGTTGAAACATAGAGAGAATTTGTTAATGAATCAGAAAATGGCAAAAATTGATTTTTCAGTTGGTAGTCGATTTCTCTCTATTATGTAAGTTAGAACGGGGTTTTTTGGCCTAACAGGCAGATGATGACTTTTGAGGGGTCTGAATCTGTCCCAGAATTTCATGATTCAAATAAAAAGGAAGAATGAATGCCACTATAAAGACTAGCACATGCCCTTATTCGGATCATTAAAGAGATCTTTCTATGCACTCAATTTTTTGCCTCATTCTCCTTCTCATATATATATACTTTAAACCAGTCATTCAGCAGAGGTGGACATCTTGGACAGTGACTTTATAACATTTTTAAAAATCACAAGAGGGGAAGTGAGAAGTAGTTGTTTGTTAGGATGGTTGTCTCGGACAGGTGTCTGTTAAAGTAGAGAGTTTGTACTTTGTCCTAGAGGTTAAAGGAACGGATCTGAGTGCAATGGTGGTGTGAATGTATTTGCCAACCAATGGCAAGTTGTGCTTAAGCATTGTTTGTTTTTTTTGAATTTCAAATCAAAGGTAGTAAAGAAACAGTATAGGTATTAGTCGATGTTCAATCATCTAGTTCCAATAAGGTGGAATTTGCAAGGCAGTACCTTGAATTAAGGGTATTGAAGTTGGGTTGTGTGATGGTTTCATTCTTTTCTAAGGTATGTGCTCTGTATTTCCAATCTTCTATCATGCCTCGTTGGCATGTTGCAGTAGGCCTACAGTACAGTACATTATTCATATACCCACCTGTGCATTTGTAATCATAAATTTCTGGTATGTGTTGTAAGTATTACTTATGTGAATTTTTTTTGTACATGGTCGGATGGATAAGAAATGTTCATATTGATATGTACCTAGTCATGTTATTCAGAAAAATTCGTGAGTTCATGTCCAAGAGCTTAGTTCAGAGCTTCAGTGTATCGCTTTTCTTTTTAACACGAGCCAGGTTTTAAGTTTTGGAGTTTAAGATTTTCTTGATCTAAGGTCTTCTTTTTTGCATTTTTTGATGGAAATTTGTCATGGGGCAGGTTAAATTAAATTATTTTATTTTTTCGTTTTATTTTATTCTTCCCAGCATGTGGTCAAAAAACGGTGGAGTCTGCATAGTTTACGATTATAATTGATTTGGCGTTACTTTTTGTTGCATGGGAGTGTCTGTGTTGTAATGGGTTAAGCTGGTCACCATTGCATACTAAAGTCATGAGTTTGATTCCTTCATGGGGGAAGTGATTTATAGACTATCTTCGTCTTTCTTTTTTCTGTTGTGTATCCCACTCAGTCAGTCTAGGCTGGACCTGACCAGCTCTTATGGAGCTGCCTGACCCCTACTAAATGATCTATGATGTGTGTGTGTAAAACGATCAATCAGATGTACCTGTAATCGGTTTCTCATGATTTTAATAAATTACACTTTTATTGATCCCAGAAGGGCAATTTGGTTTACAATGGCACACACACACACTCACACCACACACACACACACACACACACACACACACACACACACACACACACACACACACACACGCGCATGCACAAATACATTAGTACCTACATAAATTAAATACATTCACCAATACATAAATACACAACATTACACCAATACAGAACAGTTTACAACCATGCCATTGCTGGTGGCCATTGTGCAGCACCCTGTATTTTGAGCTAGGGTTGTTGTGTCTTGCTCAAGGACACACCCCGTGGGTGACCACCCATCTAAACCTTGTGCCACGGACACTTGCTTGACATTACTTGCGTCTGAACTCACTGCTCACTTCGTCACTGGAGCCCCCCATCACAATAATGTAAATATTTTCTATGCCTTGCGTGTGGTGCTATGTAACAGACTTTGAAATGGCGTTGCTGGAAAATTTTAATTGTTTAAGTTTTAGCATGTGCCTTCTTCCATAACTGCCAACTAGTAGGCCTACATTAAAAACGTAGTTCATACGTTTTTGAGGGTCTGAGTACGAAAGTCTGTTTTAGCTTTTGCATGGGAAAATACAGAGTCTAAGTACGAAAGTCTGTTTTTGTATGATGGGAAGATTCAAATGTTCTGTTTTCTGGTACTGTTCCTCATGGACTTGCCAATGCTAACGACATTTATGAACTTTCCAGACCAAATTTGGGTATAATAATGAAAACAGAAATCCATATAAGTCATTTGGCCCACCATTGCTAAAACGTCATCCATCTGAGGGGTAGATTTTTTAGAACCCCCAAAATGTGATTTAACTGCTAAATCTACTTGTTTTTATTATGTAGAGCAACTAACAAGTATCTCAAGAGATGACACGCCGTAGGATTAATTGGTATCTTTCTATTTGTTTTTTTAAATTTAATCTACTAAATCTTCATGAATCATAGGAGTGTTTTTACATTCCAAAAACGTAACTCTGTTCAAAGCCCAAAGGAAGCTAATCCAATTTTAAAAAAAAAAGAAATGGACTTTCGTTCTTATTTTCTTATCCCCCTGTAAATTTATAGGAATGTATAGCTTCTCTCATGCATGTTTTTCTTTCCATTCTGTCCTTATACACTGCCCACGGGACTGCACTAAAAATACGCGTCTTTGGAGATACCTTTTGCTGTAGGTTTACTATGAGTAGAGCAGCTTGAATTTAATGGATGCAAAAAAGTGTGTGTGTGTGTGTGAAGGGTTTGGAAGGTGTTGTTACTTGGCCAATGCTCACCATCTGGTCCTGTGACATGGGTAGAGTCTGGTTTGTTTGGGTTGTGGGTTTTTTTTAAACGTTGGCAGCTATGTTGTTCATTTCCCTGACATGTGTTACACATATATCAAACCAAGCATTTTGGTGTGGGGCGAAAAAGGAAGGCATTATATTTTTTAAAATTTATATACAGTTTCATGATGATATAATAAAGAGATGTGTATTATGTTCAACCTAAATGGTTTAAAGATTTGTATTCCCAAAGGGGAGACATTAACATATTCTTGTCTTATGCACAGTAGAATTGTAAATGGGCTGATTTATCAATGTCATGCTCATAGCTGTGCCTGAACTGCAACAGGGTACTGCTGCTTTCTCTTTTTTCATCCTTGCTATCGTAATTTTTTGTCTACTTCTTTTGTATGTTTGTCACACTCTTGTGACCCGCTATTTCCCGGGTGTCATGATAGTCAAAGCAGATTTTATGCTGTTGAAGCTGAAGAGGTGAGCAGAGTAAGCCTGATTCCCTGCAAGGACTTCTCTGTTGACATCCACCCCGTGGCGCTCATATGACCTTATGCTGTTTTGCGAGTGCTGTAAAACCTCTACTAAAACTTTGAAAAATGAAGCGTTTTGGTGTGGGGTGAAAAGGAAGACATTATATTTTTGTAAATTACAGTTCTGTGATGATATAGATATAGTAAAAAGATGTGTTATCTTCCACCTATATTTATATGTTTTACAGATTGGTAACTTTTTGACTCCTGTCGGCCAGTGGGTGGTTGGTGGGCACTATGGTGTGGTTTTTCTCCTTTTTTCCCCTACCTATCCAAACATTAATTTTATCATCCTTAACTCTCCGCTGTCTTTTCTTTGTATGAAGAACACCTCTGATCTTTGGCACCTATATGGCCTGTTTGTATTGCAAGTGCTGTAAAATTCTCTCGAAAACTAGAACATCACCTTCATGCTCTTAGTTGAGTTTTTCTATGTTTCAGACATATCGGGGATGTCGTAACTACTCTTTCAATGTCTCTAGACATTCCAGGCCAGTGCACCCTTTGGCGTGCTCTTTGCTTGGACATCTCTATGCCCATGTGTCCTTGGTGATTGCTACCGGACTCGTAATCGTGAGATTGCGGGTTCGGGATTCGAGCCTTAGCTCGGTCCGACTCTGTGTCCTTGGAAAAGGCACTTTACTCGAATTTCGCACTTGGCTCTGTCCTTTCGGAGATGGACGTTAAACTCGGAGGTCCCGCTTCTTAAATAACCTAATAGTGTTGATAGGGACGTTAAACCTATACCATTTCACCATTTTTCACCCTTTCCTTGGTGAATTTTCGATAGTATTTCTTTCTGCAAGGCCGCAGGTATTACAATTTGTTGTCCTTTGAGGAGTAGCTTTTTGTGAATTGTTAGTTCTTCCCTGAAGGTCCAAAATGGCTTTGCTGCTAAGGGCACTTTAGAGATGTTTTCAGGCCAACCTTTCATTATGAGGTCTGTAAGTAGCTTACACTGCTCAGCTGCCAGCTAGAGACGTTTGATTTCTTCCAACTTTTCTTGTGACACTGCAGCTTGTTGCATCACCATGTCAACGAATGCATCCATTTCGTTTTCCGGAATTTCCAGTTTTGCTTGTGTCTCTACGGCTCTGGACAGAGTGTCTGACAGCACCTGGTCCTTTCCTCTTTTTTTTTTCCATTTATAATATCAACGTCATATGCTTGGAGCCTGAGCCTAAATCATTGATTCCTTGCCGGGCACTTGTCGTATGCCTTATTTTATATTACGACTAGAGGTTTGTGATCAGTTTCCGCTGTTACTCTTCTGCCGTAAACGTACTGATGAAACCTTTCCATGGCAAACGCTGTAGCCAGTGTCTCTTTCTTTATCATGGCATAATTTACTTCTGCCCTGGTCATACTCCTGGATGCAAAGGCAACTGGTTTGTTGTCCTGGAGCAGAAGTGCTCCTAGTCC